TTGAGCTTTTGCACTTTGATCGCCCGTTATCGGGCATGACTTGCCTCGTATGATGTATTATGACTGATGTAAATCGTTGGTTTTGGTTTTCGTGGAGATTGGTATGAATTTGAAAGAACCGTCTCAGTTGAAAGCTTTGAATTTGAAAGGTTTGACCAAGAGTTGACTTATTTGTATATGAGCTCGGAATGGAATTTTTATGATTTGGTTAGCTTCGTTGGGTGATTTATGACTTAGGAGCGTGATCAAAATTGGTTTTGGAGGTCCGGTGGAGAATTTAGCTTGAATTGGCGAAGCTAGTATTTTGGTGATTTCCGGTTGGTAGGTGAGATTTTGATCCGAGGGTCGGAACGGAATTTTGAGAGTTGCAATAGCTTTGTTATGTCATTTGGGATGTGTGTGCAAAATTTCAGGTCATTCGGAGCTGGTTTGGTTGGGATGTTGATCGAAAGCGTATTTTGGAAGATTTTTCAAAACAATTAGGCTTAAATCCGATGTGTTTTGAGTAATTTGATGTTGTTTGAGGTGTTTTGATGATTGGAACAAGTTTGAATAAAGTATTGGGTTATGTTGTGCTTTTGGTTGAGGTCCCGGGGGCCTCGGGGTGATTCCAGATGGCTAATGGAGAGGTTGGAACCTTGTTGCAGTAGCTAATATTGCTGCTTCTGGTATCTCCGCACCTGCGGATTGGGGACTGCAGGTGCGGTACCGCACATGCGGAAGGGGAGCCGCAGATGCGAGAGTGGGTATGGTGAGCAGTTTCCGCGGAAGCGGTCAAGGTGGCCGCATCTACGAAGCCGCAGATGCGATATTTTCCATCGCAGATGCGGTTTAGGCTAGTAAGTGAGTGACCGCAGAAGCGGTTGTTTGGGCCGCATATGCGGTTCCACAGAAGCGGGCTTTTGTTCGCATATGCGAAAACCCCTGGGCAGAATGTTTTAATTTGTTTCATCCACAATTTGAAGCTCATTTACTCCATAGTTGGCCTTTTGAGAGCTTTTTGAAGGAAATCGAAGAGGGGTTCAAGGAGAAACGTTTAGAGGTAAGATTTTCGAACCTGAAACTCGATTATATTGTGAAATCCACCTAGAAATTATGGAAAAAAACTAAGCCTAAAACTTAAGAACTAGGGCTTGAGAAATTGGACTTTTGAATTGGGATTTGAAGGACCATTTGAGGTCGGAATTGAGAACTTTTGGTATGTATGAACTCGTGGGGTGATAAGAAATCTAATGATGTGAAAATTTCTAAGTTTCGAGAAGTGGGCCTGGCGCTCGGGTTTTGCCAATTTAGGGATTTTTGATATTTTTCGATTGTCTTCAATTGAGTATTGTTCCCTTAGCCTATTGTGCCGTATTCGTTGTGGTTTTGGTCAGATTCGACGTGCGAGAAGGCCGATTTGAGAGGCAAGGGCATAGCAAGCTAGAGTTTTGGCCAGCTTGAGGTGAGTAATAATTGTAAATGATGTTCTGAGGGTTTGAAACACCGGATTGCACATCGTAGTGCTATATTGAGGTGAGACACGCGCTGGATGATGAGCGTGGGGTCTTTTACTACTGGGGATTGAGATTTGGTCTGTCCTGATTGATGATTTTACTGCGTATTTTCCTAAAACTTATTTGTTATCATCCTGATTTGGGCTGATTGCCATATTTGGGCTTCGTGCCAATTATTTGAACCCTTCGGGGATTTTTATCACTATTTCCTCATTGTTTGACTCATTACTTGAACTCAGTCCTGTTGATATCTACTGTTTTACAAACTCAGCCATTTTTACTCAGTTTTGAGACTTAAATGATATTTTAAATGATGTTTTGGGCTGAGAACTACTGTTTTACTAATGCCCGAGGGGCTTGTGATGATTTTCGGACTGAGTGAGGTCGAGGGCCATATGTGAGGATATACTGAGTGATATGAGGCCGAGGGCCTGAGATACTTGTTTACGCCACGTGGTGGCTTGAGCGATGTGAGGCCGAGTGCAGATTGATGATGCCACGAGGTGGCTTGATATAGATCTTGGGCCGTAAGGGGCCCCTCCGGAGTCTGCACACCCATAATGAGCGCGGGTACCCATTATTCTGAGAGTGAGACCGAGGGGCTGATACTATTCTAAGAGTGAGCCCGAGGGGCTGATACGAGTGATTGTGAGGTAGCCCGAAGGGCTGGTACTGTTCTAAGATATTGCCCGAGGGACGAACTTTTATGTATTCCTCTTTCATATTTACTTGTCATTTTACCTGTTATACTGTGGTATTTGTGCCCGAGGGGCGAATTTTCTATGCTTATCGGCACTAACTATTTTGCAATCATTGCGTAATTGTTGAAAAAGTCATTTTCAAAAGAAGTTTAAACTGAGCTAAGATATTTCTAAAGCTTTCACAGCTTCACTACTTTTCTCAAAGGGTTTTACACTGCTTCTTTACAGCATGTTGGTTGCTTTACGTGATTACTTACTGCTCAGTTGTTATTTACCTTTATTACTCACTAAGTTGGAGTACTCACTTTACTTCCTGCACCTCGTGTGCAGATGCAGGTATTTATTCCCCCGGCAACGGGTTTTGTGCTGATCGAAGGTTGAGTTATCGGAGTTTAGCAAGGTGGCTGCCAACGTTCGCAGCACCGCTTTTCTCCCTTTTCGTTCATCAGTCCTGTTTTGTACATTTTAGACCTTGTAGTTGTATTTATACTCTAATATATGCTCGTGACTTGTGACACCCCGGTATCGGACTGTGTTTGGGCTATATTCCGCACTTTATAAAGAAATCTTTTACTTAGTTTGTGGTTATCTAATCATTCTAAAACTGTTTATTAATATTAACTATTCTGAAAAGGTAAAATGGGTTAGTTGGCTTGCCTTGTCTTCACGAGAGGCGCCATCATGACCGGATCGGGGTTTGGGATCAAGTATACCTTATTCTTATTCTCTAAGTTCTACTTTTCAAATACTCTCTATTTTTACGCCTTTTGACAAAAAAATAGTGTAAACATGCAAAAGATACGCAAAATGATGGTTCACACAAAGAGATAGATCCACATACAAATTTGCTTTGTTCACATCATGTCCAATGAAAAGCTTGGACTAGAAATCCTAAGCTTCATAAAAAGCTTTTAGCTAACAGAGTGGGACAAGGAATATCCATAAAGAAAGATAGAAGGATAGCAAAGTGTACACACATTCGAACTCAAACTTAATCTTTACTTTATTCACGTTTTATTATTAAGTCCAGTATAGTGCATCTACACTATTTATATTTTTGCATTTAAAGCATCAGACAATTTAATAATTTGACCTGAAGGACAAATTAGAGATATGTCATATTTTTTGCTAATTGGTATGCTACATGTACATCTGAGAGACGAGAAGCTCTATCTCCATACAACAGAAGGATGGAAAGTTAGGGCATTTGAGGTTTCATGTATGTCAGGAAATAAAGGGCAACTAAGACATTGTACTAGGCTTTCTTATTAGTCCATCTCACCCAATTAGGATAGCAGTGGCATAAGAATTCATGAAATAAAGAAATTAGGAATAAACTCTGCTAACCAGGCATCCTAGAAATGATTAAGTTGGCTCCAGAACAAAATTTTAGTTGTATAGTTTTAAAAATAACCTAAAACCAATCAAATAACACCAAAATCAGTAGGTCAAGGTTTTGGGGATTCAAGTCAAGCTTCAGTTGGTGATGTTAAAAGCGTTAAAATTCGAAAGCAAAATATGCCTGGAAGTTGCTCCAGAATTTGATTCCCAAGTTGTTCTTTATTCTCTCTAAATCTCATGTTTCAGGTGGAAGGTAGATCTTTTCTTTCCTTTAAGGAGGAAAATTCAAACAATAGAAAACCCAAAATAGTAGCTTGTCAAAGGATAAAGATGAGTAGTACTGTGAGACATTGAAGTATTTTCAGTAACATTAGGTATAATAGTCCATTACTCACATAATATTGCTTAAGAATTCACATAACAGTATAATAGTCCATTACTCACATAATATTGCTTAAATAAGAGATAAATATATGAATTCAACTTAAGAAACCACAAAAAGAGATTAGAACCAAAGCCCTTTTATTTTCTTTTTCTGATGCAATGTGCCTGCTACAATTATCTTGATTGCAAGAACAATTGACCTTTATAGAGGATGAGGAAATCTCTGTAATGTATAACCTTTATAGAACAACATTATGATAGGTGTAAAACAAAGGATACATATTCACCTTGTTACTTTACTGATCTCAGGTTTCCATGATAAGTTACACACTGTTGAAGATGTAACTTTTGAAACAAAACATCCGTAAAATTCATAAAGTGCATTGCAAATGCCTCACTTGCAGAAAATAATTTACTGATCCACTTACCCCATAATACATGTAACACATCAGATACATGATATTATATTCTTATTGGCAGCATTTATATACAAGAAATCAACTTGTATAAATTACAGGAATATTTTTTTCAAGTGTCTTTCAGCAAAAACTCTTTGGAAAGATTCTCAAAGCAAAGAAGTAGCAATGCATTAGTTTGCCCACACGAAAAGAAAGGAAATTAAGTTGCTGAAAAGGCATGATTTGTTATTGCTATCAATTTAATTCCTTCTTTAAACACCGCCAAGCAATTTGCTTTTGTTGTGTGATGACAATAATCATATTATCTCAAAACCAAATAAGAAACTAAGGACCATTTAAAGAAACCATGAGAAAACTAATTTTGCTCCTATGTTTAAGAGGCAACAGTCTCTAAACTAGAACATTTGCAGCACAAGAAGTACTAACTACTAATTAAATATTAAAATCCCATAAGTGCTGCTAGGGGTGTGTATTCGATTTATCGATTCGATTTTGACCCCTATCGATAATTACTTATCGATTATCGATTTGTACATATGCTTATCATTATCGTTTCAATAAGGTTTCAATTTTTTAGATTTCGATTTATCGATTTTTGGGGCTTATCGTTTCGGTTATCGATTACACCAATAAGAAAAAGGTATTATAGAATAAGGGTATAAAAACAATACCACAATTGTGGTATAAATAATTGCATATTTCTTATACCAGAACAAAAAATTCAATCAAAGGCGGATAAAACAATCCTACATTTTATCCCGAGATTATTATCCCTAATCCTTGCAACTAAATGACCCCTTAATGTTCATTAATTATCTTTCAGGTTCACTGATGCAAGTAATGGGTAGCGAAAGCAGATCTACTATAAAGTAGAGTTGATAGAAGCTGCATCAGGAAAACAAACCTCCGAAAATGTTAATGATGATGATCTCAACTTTTTCCGGCTAGCAAAGATAATAGCTGACACTGCCTCACTGAAGTTGGTTGCAAATGGAAGCACAATGAATGAGATGAAGAAAGAAGGAATGCTTGTGGCACTAGAGAAATTATTGACAGCATCCACAAGGGGATCAGCAAACACAGCATCAATGACAGTGTCGAGCAACAGCAATAGAACAACCTTAATTGCAATTGATCTAGGATTCTCAACAGCCTCAACACTTTCGTCATTTTGATTTCCTAAGAAATGGTGTTCTCTCCTTGCTTCCTGAAGAATGGGTAGAGGAAATAATAGGGTTAGGGACTTAGGGTAAAGTAAAGGGTATTATAGAATAAGGGTATATTTGTCTTTTTAGTATATCTTATCGGTTTATTGATAAACCAATAATCGAAGAGGACAAAATCGAAATCGATAACTCGATAGGGAAAATTTCGAAATCGAAATCGATAAATTGATAAACCGATATCGATAAACCAACTACAAATAATCGATTCGATTTATCGATAAACCGACTCGAATGCACACCCCTAAGTGCTGCAAATCAAGAGTATGTACTTCAGTTTTACAAATCCTAATAATTTTAAATAACATTAACTCACAATTAAAGCCCACTGGAAATGATTCTCACTTGTTCATTACTCAGGAGAACACATCCTAAAGCTTCTGGAGAAATTGCCTACACCCCTCACTCCAGGACCACAGATTTAGGCGTATATAATGAAAGTATTCAACCATAGTATTCAAAATTCTCAAATGTCAAGACAATTCAGGTTATTTTCTCACAGTTTTATCTACCTTCCAAACCACTATTCCATAAAGCTCTACAATATTGAGTCGAGACTACACCGGTTGCATAGACATTCAAAAGGGATAGCCAGTATCATATTTACATTACCTTTTAAAACTTATTTTAGACCAAGATTGGCTAACTCTTCTTTAGTCATTCTACATCTATTTTAATCCAATGAGAAACAAAATACCTTTCTCATAAATTTATCGTCTTGATTTTGCTAAGCTCAATAAGAAGATGGAATAGTGGAAATATGTTTGTATTCCACTACCAAATTAAGCCATATTTTCACAAGTGTGGCAACAGATGACAATCCAGTGATCCTATTAATTCCTTCTTACAGAAACAAATTGCTCTTCACTGGTAATTATAAGATCAAAATAAGAACAAAGGAAAGATAATGAAGGGTTCACACAAACTAACAGTTCAATAATCTCCAACCAAATCTCTAAAGAGGATTTAAGTGAACTGACAGTCAATAATAGAACACTCTTGTACTAGAACATTATGTATTCTTTCAATAATTTTTCTTAACTTCACTGTTTTGCCACCCTCATTGCGAAAATCAAAGTGTAGATTGTTAGATGAATTGGAAACCTTTCTGATTAGTAAAACCAACAACCTAGCGCAGAGAAATAGTTAGAGCAAAATAATCAAATCAGTCAAACCAAGCATATGTTTATTTCGTACAGAGGCATCAAATTTATGAAAATCATAAAAGCTCGTATCAATTAACAAAAATAAAAAGCAGTATAAATGTCGACTAGTGAATTCATATCTCGACTACGAGTAGATTCAATGAAAACATCAATATGCATCGACGACACTTAGAAAAATATCTAAATAATCACAAGAATAACAGTAGCCTTCGAAAATGTATAGAGGAACCAATTCATAATACAGTAGAGGAATATAGGAGGAATAAACTCAACCAATCGCACATTAATTTAATAGCAGCCAGTTATCACAAACGACTTAGCATATGCCGAAAAACTATACTTTCACAAATCCCAAAACGCAATAGTTGGATATCAAAAATTACAAATTTGTACCTGGTAAGCAGATAGTTTTGCCGATAAAGACAAGAAACTGAAGGAGAAGAATGATTTCTACAACAATCTTGAACCTACACGAAAAGAGAAGTTGGATACGAACGAAAGGGAGAATACTCATGACGAAGATTGAGCATAAACGAGCAACATCAATCCAAAATAAATTGTAAATCACACTTGCTGGATAAGAAGAGAAGTTATACCTGGGGAAGAAGAGGATTATCTCTGGAAAAAAATGACTAAGACCTGATCGATGTAGGCTTGAAGAGGAGTTGTCCTGCGATGTAGGTTGGGACGCGATTCTGTATCCGTTAAATGAAGGGAATAGGGTATCCTATTATTTTCTAATTGAAGGGAATAATTCATTGTTGTCCAAAAAAAATAGAGGGAAAGATTATAATTTTTCAGGTGCGGAGGGAAAGTTAAAATATTAAAAATTGATTTTAATTAGTAATTTTTTGTGGCAATTTTATTTTTTGTCGGTAAAAAGATATGTTTTACCGGCTAATGGTCATGTACCACCAATATTTCAGCTTAAATAATCTATTAGCGGCAGTTGCCTTATTTTCACAAAATAATTTCCACCAAAGGCCCTTTTATAGTAGTGTTATTGGCATACTTTCTAGGCAATAACAGCATTCTTGTGACGACCCGGCCAGTCGTTTCATGAGTTACCGCTCCATTTTTCTCATTCCTGCTACATTATGCTTCATTATCCGTATTTTATGTGATCAAATTAAGTAGCTTGTGTTCGGAGTGGATTTGGTAAGAAATGAGACACTTAGTCTCTTTTAAGAAAGTTTAAATTGGAAAAGTCAACCGGATGTTCACTTATGTGTTAGAGGTCTCGGATGTGAGTTACGATGGTTCAGTTAGCTTCGGGAGGTGATTTATGACTTAGGAGTGTGATCGGAATTAGTTTTGGAGGTCCTGAGTAGAATTACGCTTGAATTGGCAAAGTTAGTATTTTGGCAAGGCGAGATTTTAATCCGAGGGTCGGAATGGAATTTTGAGAGTTGCTATAGCTTTGTTATGCCATTTGGGATGTGTCTACAAAATTTCAGGGCATTCGGACGTGGTTTGGTTGGGTTTTTGATCGAAAACGTATTTCGAAAGTTTTTAGAAAACTTAGGCTTGAATTCGATGTGAATTGATGGATTTGGCATTGTTTGAGGTATTTTGATGATTGGAACAAGTTTGAATGAGGTATTGGGTTGTGTTGGTGTTTTTGGTTGAGGTCCCGGGGGCCTCGGGGTGATTTCGGATGGCTAACGGGAAGTTTGGAACTTAAGGGATTGCAGATTTTTCTGCTTCTTCTAGTGTTTTCGCACCTGCGGTTTGGGGACCGCGGGTGTGGTATCGCAGATACGTTGATTGGATCACATAAGCGAAAAGGCTGAGGAAGGCCTGGAACCGCAGATGCGGAAGGGGGACCGCACTAGCGGAGCTGTAGAAGCGGTGAATGGACCGTAAATGCGGTGTTGGTCCATTAAGTGAAATTCCGCAGATGCGGAGATATGACCGCAGAAGCGGTACCGCAGAAGTGGCTATTTGACCGCAGATGCGGTTATGTCTGGGCATAAGGTATATATGTTTCTTCTTGGCGATTTTTGAAGGGTTTAACCATTTTAAACTTCGGACTTAGAGTTTTTGGGCGATTTTGAAGAGAGATTTCAAGGGAACTTCTATAAGGTAAGGATTTTGGACTTAAAACACACTTCTATGGTGGTATTTCATGAATTAGGACTGAAATTTAAGGAATTAATGGACTAAAAATGGAGGTTTAGGGCTTGAGTTTAAGAGGGCTTAAATTATGGATTTGAGGGGTAAATTGAACTCCGATTCTAGTGTTTTTCATATGTATGAACTCGTGGGGAGATAAGGAATCTAATGATGTGAAAATTTTTTAGTTTCGAGAAGTGGGCCCGGGGCTCGGGTTTTGCTAATTTCGGGATTTTTGATATTTTTCAATTGTTTTCGCTTGGGATTTATTCCCTTAGCATATTGTGACGTATTCATTCTGGTTTTGGTCAGATTCGACGTGCGAGGAGGCCGATTTGAGAGGCAAAGGCGTTGCGAGCTAGAGATTTAGCCGGTTTGAGGTGAGTAATGATTGTAAATGATACTCTGAGGGTTTGAAACCCTGGATTGCACATCGCAGTGCTATATTGAGGTGAGACACGCGCTTGATGATGAGCGTGGGGTCATTTACTATTAGGGATTGTGACTTGGTCCTTCCCGATTGATGATTTTACCGCGTATTTGACTGAAACTTATTTGTTATCATCATGATTTGGGTTGATCGCCATATTTGGGCTTCGGGCCAACTATCTGAACCTTTCGGGAAATTTTATCACTATTTCCTCACTGTTTTTGAACTATTACTTGAACTCAGTCCTGTTGATATCTACTGTTTTACAAACTCAACCACTTTTACTCAGATTTGAAACTTAAATAATATTTCTAAATGATGTTTTGGGCTGAGAACTATTGTTTTACTAATGCCTGAGGGGCTTGTGATGATTTTCGGACTGAGTGAGACCGAGGGCCATATGTGAGGATATAGGGCCTAAGATACATTTATACGCCACGAGGTGGCTTGAGTGATATGAGGCCGAGGTCTTAGATTTGATGCCACAAGATGGCTTGATATTGTGATTGGGCCGTAAGGGGCCCCTCCCAGAGTCTGCACACCCCCAGTGAGCGCGGGTACTCATTGTGATCACAGAGTGAGCCCGAGGGGCTGGTACTGTTCTATGTGTTTACTTTATTTCCATTTGTCTGCCATTACCTGTTTATTGTGTTATCTTCCTGATTGTCTGGCATTACCTATTAAATTGAGTGTTGAGCCCGAGGGGCGGATTTCTGTGCTTATCTGCACTAATTGTTTTGCATTCATTTGCATAACTGTTGAAAAAGCCATTTTCAAAAGAGGTTTAAACTGAGCTAAGATTTTTCTAAAGGTTTCACAGCTTCACTGTTTTTCTCAAGGGTTTTACACCACTTCTATACAACATGTTGGTTTGCTTTACGTGATTTTTTACTGATCAATTGTTATTTACCTTTATTACTCACTGAGTTGGAGTACTCACTTTATTCCCTGTACCTCGTGTGCAGATGCAGGTATTTATTCACCCGATAATGGGTGTTGAGCTGATCGGAAGCTGAGTCATCGGAGTTTAGCAAGGTGGTTGTCAGCGTTCGCAGCACCGCTTTTTTCCCTTCTCTTTCATCAGTCCTGTTTTGTACATTCAGACCTTGTAGTCATATTTATACTCTAATAGATGCTCGTGACTTGTGACACCCCGATTTGGGCTGTGTTGGGATGGTTTCTACTGTTGTTATCATTATTTCCGCAAATTATTGCTATTATATCATGTTTTAGAACTACTTACAGTATTTAACTATTTAAAAGATGTGGTCTATTTTTGTCTGGTTGTCCTTGTCTTCACGATAGGTGCCATCACGACCGGGTTCGGGGTTAGGGTCGTGACAAGTTGGTATTAGAGCCTAGGTTACATAGGTCTCACGAGTCATGAGCAGGTTTAGTAGAGTCTCGCGGATTGGTACGGAGACGTCTGTATTTATCCTCGAGAGGCTACAGAACCTTTAGGAAACCTTCACATTCTTGAATTCTTATCGTGCGTCTTTGATTCAGCTTGAAAAGTAACATTTGAAATTCCTTCCACGCATTCGCATGAGCGCTCAGTATCAGATATACATCGATGGCATGTAATTCCTCGATCAAGGGGCGAGATACAATTTCTGTGTGTTAATGTTGGGCCAGTCTAGAGGACTTGAGGCCGGATTTTTTGCCTATAGCTTGAGCACCGAGGTGCTGATTGTGTGAGCAAGTGCTTTTGAATTTATATGTTCGGTAATTTTTCCCTATTGTGGAAGTGACGACTGGATGGCTATGTAATGAGAATGTTAGTTCTGCGAGATTTATTCATATGATTTGGAAGTGACGAGAAAGGTCTGCTGGAGGATAGAAGAACTATTAGGTGCTTGATTTTCGTCTTGATTCGAGTTATAGCCCGAGTTATGGGCGTGTGAAGAATCTTTTCATGTCTCATAGTTGTGAGTGGAGTAGATTTCATGTTGCGGTATGAGTTCAGACTCAAGAAGACTAAGTGACTGCGTAATGGTTATGACGGTGGAAGGTATACATAAAAGTTAGTTTAAAGCGAAGCAGGTGGGTTATCTCCTGCGAAGTGTTATGGAATTGTGTGATCTTTATGTTGTCTATTAGAAGATCCCATTTACAAGTGAAACATATGTGTGAATTTAATTTGGGTCGCTTAAGAGAGTGGGATTAATTGTTACGAGAGTAAATGCAAGATTTGTAGAAGATATGAAGTACCATATGGTCTGTGTTCCACGAGCTTATGAAGGATTGAGTTAATCTCACTATGGTATTATGGCAGTAATAGAGTATATGTGTTATGAGTTATTGAGTGTGTTTTGATCTATGGCTTCGGGCCAAGTGGGGGAGTCTGCTATTGATTAGTTGATTGCACGTTTATGTGCTATGTTGGTCCCAGTTCGAGGCGTTCGGGTGAATCAGTTATGCCCTACGGGGATTGAGACCGAGGATGGCTCGAGTAAAGGAAAAATTCTTAACAAGGTATATAGTATGCTTCATAAGTGTGTAAGAATCACGGAATGTCTTGTGTTGTTATTGGTAAAGGATGCTCGGTGCATAGAGCAAGAAGTTGCTTGGTTGTAATGGAATGATGTCACACTCTGTGGTGTCGGAGTGCTAACGAGGCACAGGTTGATAAGTTCATTTGATTAGACTAATTGCAGTTTGAGTAGAGTGAATAACTCGTGGGAGTGGTTCTAATGTGTTCAAGATTTTATATGTACAATAGGGTAAGTTAAAGTTGTATATGTGGTTAGAGACTGAGTTTTCATTGGAATATGTCAAGACTTGTGGCGTTTTCTATATTAATTGTAGGATTCTATGTATCAGTATCAGGAGGTAACGGATTTAGATTCGCAGGAAGTTCTTCAGAGCAAAGTATTACGAATGTGGTGCTTTTGGGAATATTTAAGAGAGTATTCAGCGGCTTATGAGTCTTAGACAATGTGGTTTTATGCTTGGGTCTTGTGTGGTAATCCTGGGTTGAGGAATTTTGGTGCTACAGCAAGAGAAAATATCAAGTTGAAGATGAATCAAAAGGAAATTTAGATAGATGGAGTAGCTTGATAGTAGACCGAATCGGTATGGTAAGGATATGATTAATTCCTTGTGTGTGTTCGAGGTAATAAGTTCTTTCAGGTATTTCGCGGCGATGCTCTTAGGTTTTGATGGCTTGCTTAGCTTGATC